GGAAGTGCCCACTTGGTGGCCAAAAATTATTTGACTATATTTAGAAATAACTCTCAAATTGGAAATCTATACTAATAAAAGGGTAATATGCTAATTAGACCAGGAGACCTTTTGGGAGACCATCTGGATGTCCTTCTGGACAAAGCCATGGCGGTGGGGCTAAGGCAGAGGTGGTTAGGGGCAATCAGGCCAGGAGGGGAGGGCAGTTGGGGGTGAGCAGGAGGCAATTAGGCAGGCAGGCAGGTGAGCGGTTAGAAGCCAGTGGTCCTGGATTGTGAGAGGGATCCCAGATTGGAGAGGGTGCAGGCTGGGCTGAGGGACACCCCCATCCCCTGTGCACGAATTTCATGCACCAGGCCACTAGTCTATAATAAAAGCATAATATGCTAATTAGACCAGACGTCCTTCCGGACATCCTTCCTTTTGGACAAAGCTGCAGTGGGCGGGGGCCGAGGCAGAGGCGGCAGACGCTCCCCAGCTGCGGTGGGTGGGGGCCAGGGCCAAGGCCCTTGCACGAATTTTATGCATCGGGCCTCTAGTGGATTGATAATAACCTTATGGATGGATCCTTCTGAACCAATATACACCCTGTAGTTGTAAACTGCTGAAGGTATTGTGGGAATAGATATTTTAAGTTAGCAGTGGAACACGTGTTAGGCACAGTATGGTTATACTAGTAAATGTGGCAATTCCACAGGACACCCTCTATTTGGATAGGTTGGGGCTGGGGGAGAATACTCAGATGGGCTGATATATAACACAATTAGCCCCTTTTTGCTCCTCCCATCTCCCATCCCATGCCTACCTCTGGGAAACAGAGCTACTGGTATTTACAAGTGGCAATACAGAGTAGGGTTGGAGGGTCGAAGACTCTAGTGCTCCTTTTTCTGCCTTATGCTTGCTGGACCTGAAGGGTTGTGATGTCAGTGATATCATGGATATAAGGTGACAATTGCCATAGTAGTCTCGGCATGGCTCACATGTCAGGGAGTGAGAGAGATGGTCTAGATTGATACCGTGTAGAAAAGAATAAACCGCTGAGCCATCTAGGGATGACTCTGCCTCGATGGTGTTGATTAGACATGGTGAGGATTGGAAGAACAGTGAAGGGTCTGCTTCAGGGTCTCATTACACCATTCATATTACTGTAGAAAAAGAATAGCAACCCTGGCAGGGCAGGAACAGCTCAGACCTTGGGAGGCCAGGGGTAGGGGAGGGACCATTAACCTGTCTTGCATTCATGTCTGGAAGAATGCACAGGAAGATGAAGATGATATACCTGTAGAATTTCATACCTGTAGAATTTTGAACCATGTGGCTATCTACATATTTTAAAAGCGACTAAAAATTTAAAAATAAAAACATTGTACCTAAATCTGGAACTAAAATTTAGAAATTAACATTCAGGCCATAAATCTGGACCACTCTCTAGTAAGAACCTAGAATATAAAAACACAATAAATACAAAAGTTAGACTTTCTTTTAACAGTGATATACACATTAATTCACACAATTTTCTAGTATGAAATTTCTTTTAGAAATGTATATATACAAGAATAGTGCAAGCTGTTAACTTTATTTAATATAACCGATGAAGTTAACAAATATATTTTAATGTAACAAAGAATTATAATTGATGTTTATCATCTACATTTTAAAGAATTTCAACAATTATTTTAGTATAGCCAAAGACTTAACATTTAAATTTTACCCTTTTTGAAATGTAAAATGCACAATTATAATACCCATTCTACATTTCTTACAATTTTAAAGTTTTAGCTAAAACATGAGTAAAAACAAGAGTTCTCCTACTCCTAAGACAAATAAAATGTATTACTAATAAAGTGCCATTAGATTAGACAATACTATTTCAACTATCTCCTATTTGGAGAGGAGGACAACAGTACATAGAGTATAGAGCTAGTCACTTTCATTATACTAGTGTAGAATCAGGAATTTGCATTACACTTTGTAACAAGGATGAATGCTTATTTGTAGTAGATATTAACAATAAAGAATTCCTCTCGAGAAAGATCACAACTATGACTTATGACAAGCTGTGTAGTCAGCACTGAACACAGTTTAGTATCCAGAGTTTTTTAAAAGTGCAATCTTGAAAAAAACAAACCTGTCTACCAACACTAAGAAATAGTTTTAGGGACTTCATATAAATAAAAGAACATTTCTTTCAATTGTAAATAGCTTTCAACCTGTTCTAAGGAGAGGAATAGTGGTGGATGATCAAGTTTGGCACTAACTGTGTTTCTAGCAGGTGGAAGCCTGATATGCATTGCTATTAGATGCATCATTCACGGAAGGAAAATGTACGAATTAGATGTATACAGCACTTTTCAGGCACTTGACTTCACTTGGTGGTTAAATTGATGTTCAGATATTTATCTAATGGAAAAATATTAAATTATATAATAACTTCAAGTCATGTTCCTTCCCACAGAACATCTGTGTTCCGTAAGCTAAATCCAAATGTTCCCTGCTAAAATCAAATAATGACACCCAATTCAGAAAGAAAAAATTTAATAGATTAAAGGTAATAAATTGCATTTTCTCAATTTAAAAGTTTTCCACAATAAATTTTCTTTCAGGCTTTGTTGCCTACTACTTGTCTGAATGCTAGGAGAAAAAAGTCTTGAAAACTGTGAAATATTATGCCTAAATGATAGAAAATTTTAAGCCATTGGAAGTTTAATGTACTAATTATGGAAATATACCTATAGTTTGCTCTTACACTTCTTAAGAGCCATATTTTCTCCTAGTAAATCTGTTCCTAGTTCATATAATAGAATTCAGTATGTAAACATTTTAACGTGTACCTAAACAAGCGTTATGAATTTTGATCTGTTGTCCCTAAATATGTTTGAGAACCACTAACTACATCAATGTCTGACTGAAACTACCTTTGGGGTCCATGCTAAGAAATGTTTTCAGATATATCATTAAGGATAGGGTTCTAAGATAAGACTATCAAACTGTATTTTAAGATGAACAAAATGATGATGATGATGATGTGTGTGTGTGATATATATATATATATATATATATATATATATAT